TCGAGCGTCGGCGAAGCCCTGCTGAATTGAAGACTGAAGGAGCACGAATTTCATAAGAAAGGAGGAGATCGGATCGAGTTCTTCAGCATAAAGAAGAAGAGTTCGTCAGATCTATAGTTCCCGGTTCCTTTCCTTAAGATTGCCCTGTTACGGTGATCTCGAGAAGAGTGGTTATCTTGCTGTTGTCGAGATAATTACTTCGGTTTTTTGATTCCTTCGTAAATCAAAGAAGCTTCGGATCGATCTGATCGTTTGGTAGTCCACGAATATTAACGTCCTCATCACAGGCAAAGATCCCACGCAAGTAGCGGGAGATAAACGTCCGTTTTGTTTGTTTAAAAGAAAGTTGTAATCTTTTGTTGAAAGTCTTATAAAAAGACTATTTCTTTAAGTTTATTGTAATGCCCAAAGTTATAATGAACTCATCAACGAAATTAATTTTTTACCCAAACAATCAAGACCGATTGTTATAGATTGAAGAACAAAAATAAACAAGAAGAGTATAAAGAAAAACCAAAGGACTCCGCTAAAGTTGATATTGCTGAAGATGTGATTTTGTTGGCTACACATAATATAAATAGGAGCATGGATGATTGGATTTTGAATTCAGGTTGTTCCTATTTATGTGTCCTAATCGGGACTGGTTCAACACTTATGAAACTATTGATGGTGGAGTTGTTCTTATGGGGAACAACGCCCCATGCAAGACTATTGGAAAATGCACAATTCGGATTAAGATGCATGATGGAGTCATCAGGACTTTGACTGATGTTGGGCATGTTCCAGGTTTAAGGAAGAATCTCATCTCTTTGGGCACTCTTGATAGCATTGGGTATAATTTTTCAGTTAAAGGTGGAGTTCTTAGGGTAACAAAAGACTCTCTTGTGGTTATGAAAGGAAAGAAGATCGTCAGCTTGTATATTTTGCAGGGTTCTATCATTACTGGCTCAACTGCAGTTGCATCGTTGATGTTAGGAGATGATACTACTAGATTATGGTATGAGACTTGGTCATATGAGTGAGCACGGATTGACGAGTTGAGTAAGAATGGTCTTTTATGTGGACAGAGTACATAAAAATTAGGATTCTGCGAGTATTGTATCTTTGAGAAGCAAAAAAGAGTTAGCTTCAGTACGACAGTGCATCAGACTAAATGTACTTTGGACTATATCCTTTCAGATATTTGGGGACCTTCTCAAGTTGTCTCGAGGGGTGGTAGTTTTAGATATTTGTTGACCTTCATTGATGACTACTCCAGGAAGGTTTGGGTCTACTTTTTATGACATAAAGATGATGTGTTTGTGACTTTTAAGCAGTGAAAGTCTTTGATTAAGAAGCAAACTAGGAGGCTGATTAAGAGGTTTAGAACTGATAATAACCTTGAGTTTTGCGGAGGAGAATTTAATGACTTCTGTAAGAATGAGGGAATTGTTAGACATCGTACAGTCTCTCGCACGCCGCAACAAAATAGAGTGACAGAACGTATGAACGGATTCCTATTAGAGAAAGCTCATTGTATGATATTCAATTCAGGTTTAGGAAAGGAATACTGGGCGGAAGCAGTGAATACGGCTTGTTACTTAGTGAATTGGTCTCCATCTACTTCTATTTGTTGTAAAACTCCAGAGGAAGTTTGGTCCGGTAAGCCTGCAAATTATTCTAATATTAGAATATTTGGTTGCCCTGCATATGTGCAGTTAGTCAAGGGAAACTTGAGCCGCGAGCGAAGAAGTTCATATTCGTAGGTTATGCATCAAGTGTTAAAGGTTTTAGGTTGTAGTGTCTTGATCCGAAGTCTCCTAAGATTATTATTAGTCGTGATGTTACTTTTGATGAATCTGCTATGTTCCACTAGAAATGATCATCGATTTCAGGATAAAATTACGGGAGTTCAGCAGCCAGATCCCGTTCAAGTAGATAAAGTACCTCAGCAGCTACAGAAAGAGCGGGACTACACTATTGCTAGAGATTGGTCTAGACAAGATATTTGACCACCGTGAAAATATGAACATACGATAACTTATGCATTGTTGATTGATAATTTTGTGCTCTTCAGCTATTCAGGAGCTACTTCAGGTGACGACTTCACTAATATTTACGGTCATCGTGCGGACAGTTCAGTCGATTTGTTGAGCAGGTCTCTTTCAGTTAGCAAGTTCAAATCGGGCTTGGACTTGATCGATACGTGTTGTACTTAGATGCCCTACGGGGCTATTGGAGAAGGTGGAGTAAATTAGCTTATTTTGGAGTGATGAATCTTCTACGCATTTGAGTCAAGGTGGAGGTTTGTTATAGGTTGCCTCAAATACTCAAATCCATATTGCTTTGGGAGTTCCTTTTTAACTTGGTTTGTTTTGATTAATAGTCTTACTTACATTAGACTTTGCACAACCAATCATATTAGAGATTTATTTCTACTTGGACTCTTATTGGGTTTTAGGACATGTGGACTTATATTCTTTTTAGATCTCTTATTCCTTAGAGAGCAAGGAGTTTGGATCTTCAATGCTATATAAGAACAGTCTTTCAAGCCCATTAGATGCATCAATATTCAGAGCACCAATCAAGAAGAAAGAGTTCTTTTGTGAAGCCTATTTGATATTCTTCTCTTTTGTTCCTTTAGTTGAGAGCTGTATTAGGATTTTGTGGTGTTATTTAGGATTGAGTGATTGAGAGATTCTACTTTGTATTCCTCACAATTAGTAAAGTTTTCTTCTCCTTCGCTCGTGGACATAGGCTGCAAGCCGAACCACGTATATTTTGGTGTTCATGTGTTCTTGATATTTTTCGTGCTCTCATGTGATTGATATTAGCTTATCCTAGGGAGTTTGTCATAACATCACTGTTTTAGAAGAGGTATGTTCAGAATTTGATGCAAAAGTGCTTAATATACTCAGTGAAGAATCTAAGTGAATATTTTGCCTTTAAAACTTTCATAGACTAAAGAAAATTGGTACCATTTCTAAAGTGATGGAACTTAGGAGGAATAAAATGAGAAAAGGAAGATCCAAGCATGGAGAACATAAGCTGGAGATAAAGAGAATTACAGGATAAAGGAGATAAAACAAAACAAATAAAGGCATAAAATTCCAAGGAAAAAAGGTCTTTGAACAATGCTAAGCAGAATAAAGAAGAAGATAGTGAAGAATAAAGCTATATATGCACATAAATCTATTAGAACATGAAGAAAAAGTAAATGGATTTATGAAAAGCAAATTCAAAACAAAACATCTTTCAAAAACATCGACAAATCGAAAAATTCCACGTACAAGGGTTCATGCTTACTTTTTTTCCACCTTCTTTTTCCTTCCAAGAGACATATTCTAGGATCTCCAACTTATCTTTTTTTTTTTTTGGCTTTGGATAGAACAGTATATTCCTCAATTCAAAACCAATAAAAAAGAGGCACAGGGATATGTTGGTGAGATTCTGAATTATATATCACTTTAGTAAGGGTAGAAGGAATCAATTTGCATCATCCTCTCATGATTTTGAAATCTAATGTCAACATTCAACGTGAGGTAACACAAATGATAATTTAACAAATTTAGCCTATTCACGGATCTGCTCACATTAGTATGGGAGGAACCCAGATTGAGCATAAAATATTAACAAAAAAGAATTCACAGGATTTAGGACATATCTTGATTATAGCAAGTAGCAAACAAGGATAATGTACCTTAGATAAACTTCCATGTGCATATATATGGTAATGTCTTTGTCCAATCTTGTGCTTAGATAGTAGGGCCCATAAGAAAAGCAGTTTAGAACCCAATAATCTAAGTTTTTTTTTTGATGTTTTCTGAACCTTGTGAGTGGTGAACAACACCAATCATAAATGTTTGAAGAGATGGCATTATTTGACTAAACTCCATTACACACATGTTTCTGTCTATATAATTTTTTCCATCCATATGTCAAGTATTGAACCAACCAGAGATAGAGAAAACCCATAAATCTAAGTTACGTCTGAAATGGCAAGAGCTTGTCAAGTCTCATAAAGTATCATTTGCAACCCTCTCCAAACTCATTGCACATTTGAAAAGCTCAGACCACCATCCACATACTTGAGAGCTTCACTCGTCCTCATGACTCTCTTGGCTTAACCTTATATATGAGCGTGGGGTGTGCCTTGGATCCCACACAAGCAACACAATGCCAAGATGTCTAATCTCTCGAGCAGCATGTGACATCCATTCTTGTATGATATTAGTCAATCATCACAAATTAGATAGTCCAATCTCAGACAGTGGAGATGAAAACTATTAGGCTATGTAATGTTTGACAAATCAATCATGGTCCGGTTTTATCCTAAATCAGATTAGGGATAAACGGGACGGACTATTTAAAAAAAAGAACTAGCTTAATTACTTTCCGGCCTCTATTTTGATTGGTTGCCAAACACAACTTTTAAGCCGCGAAATCTCTAAAGACGTTCATGGTAAATGTTGAATGTTATAAAATTCTACTCAAACATGCTTAGCAGGTTAAGATACTTTAGACGGTGATACTCTTCTAGATACCGCTTTGACCGTATGCGTCACCGTGAGTTGAGACTAGCTAGGTTGCTCGTATGCCATCTTAAAGTCCCCGCTCGCTTCACCGGAATGCGTTTACGAAAACCTAAAACCAATATTGTTAGAAAAGCAATGCCTTCGTCCTCTCAAGATTAACGTAGTTAATGGAAGAGGTCATGCAGTAGTCTTGAGGGCATCTTGGTCTACCTAATTAAAGCTAATATGTTGACATTGTGAGGGCAATTCTGTAATGTGTTTTGTGTTTCTCTCCCCTTCTAATCTTTTTGAAAAATTCTAAGTGTGGGGTCTTAAGTCTGTTGCTCCCCCTCCCTCTGTGCATCTTCTCTCTTCTGACACCAGAGTCCTCTTTCTCTCTCATCTTTCTCCATCTATGGCGTAAGCTTGATGCCTGATAGTGCAAGCAAAGCAAACCCCCCCAACTTTATTTCCCCCCCTAACCCTCTCTCTCTCGGCTCTCTGTCCTCTAAATAAAAAATAAAAAAATAAAAAGAAATTCCCTTTTCTCTCTCTCTAACTCTCAGACTACTTGTACAAGCCTCTTGACTCTTGTTTAGTGCCTCTCTACCACAAAACACTTGACACAAAATCTCTGCATTTGCTCCTCTCACCCTCGCTCTCCCCCCTCCCTCCCCTCTAACAAAAGACTTTTAAAGACTTAAAAGGTGGGGTTGAAAGAGAGAAGGAGATGGGTTTTCTTCCTTCCCTTTCTTTTCTAGCGTTTCCCTCATCCTCTTATTAGCAAAGTTCTAAGGAGGGAAGGGTCTAATTAGGCACTACTGTTCTTGCTGTTGTTTCCTTCTTGGGTGTTCTCAAGTTTTTTAGACCCTTTTGTATCCTCCCACACCAACAAAACCAACTGTTCCCATCCTCTCTCTCTCTCTATCTCTTTTTTTTATCCTTTCTTTCTTCTTGTAATGATCTCTAAGATGAAATCTTTGGCATTATTCTAATTCTACAGTCCTTCAGCCTTTTTTTTTTTTCTTGTGTTTTTGGGTCTCTCAAAAAGAGAAGAACTTTGAAGAAGGTGGAGCAAGTATGTATCTAGATAAGGCTCTTTAGAATCACACAGGTTTCTAAAACTTCAGTGTCTTTCTTTCCACCCAAAAGAAAGAAAAGGGAAAATGGGAAAAATTGTGTGCTTCATTATCTCTTTTTTCTAATCATTTAGAGTCCCAAGAGCCTCATAATTTCTTCTTTATCTTTCATAATTCTTTCCCCTCTCTCTCTCTCTCCCCACCCCACAAAAAATTAAAAAAAAATCATTTTTAAGCACAAAGATTGAGATAGAGATAGAGAGAGATATAGAGAGAGAGAGAGAGAATGGATCTTTCTTCTCATGAAGGGGACATCCCAATCCCAATAAGCAGCAGCACATACATTGGCGCTCAAAGCCATGGCCATTCCTTCCTGCTCCTCCTCCAACGGCCCTCCCCGTCAAACACCACCACCACCACCACCACCTCCTCCTCCTCCTCCCCCACTGAAGACACCACCACCACCAAGCCATTGTCCCAAAAAAGCCGCGGCCGTAGTCACAATACAGGGAGTGCCTCAGAATCCACGCGGCCTCCATCGCGCGGCAACGCCACGACGGCTGCGGCGAGTTCATGCAGCGCGCGAGGAGGGGACCCTCGAGGCCCTCAATGTGCAGCCTGCAGGCTGCCACAGGAACTTCCACAGGAAGGAAACCGAAGGGGACCCTTTTCGCGCAGCAGCCCCTCCTGCGACTGCCGGAGGAACTTCATCGGCCGGGCACGGCCACAAGGGGTCCTGATCCCGAGGCCGACCCCCCACAGCATGATAATGCCCCTGGGGGCGGCCTCGGCAATGCAGACCTCGGAGAGCGACGAGATGATTAGCCGTCAGGCCCCCGCTGATGAAGAAGAGGTTCAGGACCAAGTTCAGCGCCGAGCAGAAGGAGAAGATGCTGGCGTTCGCCGAGAGGGCCGGGTGGAAGCTGCAGAAGCAGGAGGAGGGCGTGGTGCAGCGGTTTTGCCAGGAGATCGGGGTCAAGAGGAGGGTGCTCAAGGTTTGGATGCACAACAACAAGCACAATTTGGCGAAGAAGGAGCCGCTGGCTAACAACTCCAGCTTCAACAACAGCGAAAGGGTCTCGAGCTTCAACAGCGAGAGGGTCGGCGAGAGGATGAGCGAGTGAAAAGAATTAATCGAGCTGGTTGCGTTCACTAATTCTCCGTAACAATTGTGTTGAGGATTGAGTTTAGTTTTGGAAGAGGGTGCGTGTTTTAGATTGATGAGTGTTTAGAGCTAGCCCTTGAACTTATTTTTTCTCTTAGTGCTTTGAGGTTTTTTTTTTCTTTTTTTTCTTTTTTTGGGGTCCTTTTTTTTTTCTTTTTCAAGTGATGATCCTATATCAAGGGGTTTTAGGTTTATGATATACTGTATTCTAGGATGGCACTTTGGTTCGTTTCTTCTGTTTAATATGGTGATGTTGCTCTTATTATATCCCAAGATGGCGCTTTTGTGTGTTGCTAGCTGTTGCTGCTGACATAGAAATACCCCAAGTTTAAAATAAAAATAAAAAATGACCAGGGTTAAGGTGTTGAATTTCTTGCATTGTTATGTATTTTTAAGCTCAATTTCTGGCTGCTGTATGTGAATATGATAGCTTTGGTAGATTTCAAACGTTTTGTTCTCCATATAATAATGACATTTTGTCCCACATTTCTTAAATTGAATTAAAATTTTTTTGTTCCTTTCTTTATTTGTTTTTTTTTTTTACATGAACTGCAAGCAAAATGCCAAAGCCTCTTTTTCTTGTTCTAACATTTTTGGATAAATAAATTCCTTTTAAAAAAAACAGGAAACTGATCAATTCTAGCTAGAGAGCATAATCTGCTTATGACATAATATTATGCTCCTCCATATAGCTTGATAAGTTTAAACCCATAATAATTTCTGTTGATTAATTCATCACGTTTCAAGCTGCAGATGACAGTGGACTTAGTTAATAGTACCAAAAATTTGAGTACTTAGCAATCAAGAGTTGGTTGAAAATCTAAACAGGCAAAGAAGTTTTTTGTGGTGGTGTTGGCTGTTGAGACAGCAAAGGACAGAGATATTATTTTGATGCAGAAAATAAGTGGATCAGTTTAAACAGTATCAATTCAGGGAAGCAAGAGATGAGACCACTTCTCATTTCTCTCTCTCTCTCTCTCTTTTATTTTTCATTTTTGACAGTAAATGTAAAAAAAAAGTACTAAATGATGAGGAGACAAAACAAAATTAGAATTTAAAAAAAAAATACATGGGAATGTAGTGTATGAGTTGGCTCCACTACTCTGGCATACTGAAAAAGGCTTGGCCTTTTTCTACCAAGGAAATGAATGTAGAGCTCTATTTCAGGTAAAAGGGACAGTAATGGAGGTGTGAGGTATGGAGCAGGCTCTGCAAAAGGGTAGAAAATGATCAATGGAGGAGACTAGTAATTATACAAACCTACCGACCTTGGCTTCATCTTTACGGAGATTTAAAGATTTCCATATTTGTTTCTTGAAGTGGGTTTCTCATTTCAAATCTCAAAAAGTTCCTTCCAGCGTACCAAAACTTTGGAGTGACACTAACACCTGTCTTAGTTTGACCAATCTTATGGGTCGAAAGTCTGTTTAAATGTGTTATTAGGATTTGAATTTGTTTTGCTGTGATACCATGAGATTTAAATGTGTTATTAGGATTTGAATTTGTTTTGCTGTGATACCATGAGAAGCTCACCGTCAAAAGAGGCAAAAGTCAACTATCACACGAACAATGATTAATTTTTATTATTCATATGTGAGTGTAGTTTCAACACCGGAACTATCAGAAAAAACAACGGGTTTAAATAAAAGTTGAGATCATTACTTAATACCTTAAGATTTTGGACTTTTTTTTAGTCCATGACCTCTATTTTATTTCTATTGACTCCCAGTTGGGCTTGATTTCTCCCCCAACAAATAGTACACTCTCCAATCTATGCGCTCTTCTACAAAGCTTCATTATCAAGGTCGCGATCCCGGCGGCCATCTGAATGATTTTTTGTATTTTCGGAGCAAAGTGTCTTGTTTTGTATCTCTGTGTTTCGTCGAACTCTTATTAATAAATAGCGGCATAGAAACCCTTTAAAATTCCTCTTACTATATGAAACTCAAGTTTAAGGGTTATATATACTTTTATGCATTAACACTGATTATAGAGCAAAAGAACTCCAAGGTAACAGAAATGGCATGTGGATCAGTGGATGTGTTTTGCTGGGAAGGCAAGCATGCAGGTCTGCATGTTCTGCCATATTGTGGGTATTCTTGGCTAAGGGAACAAAGATGCCAACTACCCATGTCTACTCTTAAGGAAAAGTAGTAAAACTTTGTCCATCATTTCTTGCTACTTTAACCTAGCTTCACATCAATTAATGGGGGGGGAAAGTTAAAAATATATAAAGGTTATCATAATGCATACTATGCAGTACTAATCACTAAACTTAACCCTAACGTTTAAATTTCAGTGTAATATGTGAATCTCAAAGCAGGATCCTGCTTTTGGATGATCCAATGTGGTCAGATCTTTGGATCTGGAGCTTTGTCCAAGGTGGTTGTAACTTTTTCCTAATATTTGCACCATTTAACTTCTTTTGCAATTACCAATGCAAAAAATGTTACATAACATCAAACTAAAAGTTGCAACTTCATCCAATGATTTTGTACTCTTCATGGTGAGATTTTTATTTGCACAGTTTTTTTTTTTTAGAGAAAGGATGGATTATCACAAAGATAATCCAGCCAGCTAAATTAAAAAAAAAAGGTTAATTTGCACAGTTGTAATTTCAGTCGTAAGTTTATGTATTTATTCCCACTTTTCTCTCAAGGTAAAACAAAGGGTTTGCGGATGGACCCCCTGAGTAAATTTTTTCGACTCTTGTACTCTTAAGAGGTTTATTTGTCAAAAAACAATTCTCTTTCCTTTTCCCCAGAAAAATTTGAAAAAAAATTAATTTTCTCTTTCACTGGAACTACATGGGTTCTTGCTCCAATCGGGCAATAGTACATGTGGTTTATTCCCAATTAAACCTAAAACATAAAAAGGAAATGAAAAAAAAATTTCAATTTTCTCTCTCTCTTGAACTGCATGGGGGTCTTGCTTCAATTGAGCAATATTGCAGGTGTTCTATCCCCAATTAAACCAAAAACATAAAAAGGGGTGGGGGTTCAAATTTCTCTGTCTCTGAAACCACAGGGGGTCTTGGTGCAATTGAGCAATAGTACAGGTGGTCTATCCCCAGTTAAACCTAAAACATATTGGTCCATTAAATAACAAATATTTTTAATTGTAGAAGCGTTTTTTAATTTTTAATTTTAGTTTTTTATTTTTTGATTTTTTTTTACTGTGTGTGTGAAAGTAAAGTGGTGATCACTATACATGTAGAAAAATAAATGACCAAAGCAAAGATACAGTTACCTATAATGCATACTATTAGTGGCATCATCACCTCTCATGCTCAAGTTGGAAGAGGCAAAACTAAGTTGGATGCATGTGCACACATAGGACTCCATCCCTAACTTGAGACTGCACTTGTTTATGATTAATTGCAGGCAAAGAGGCATGAAGAAAGAATGATTAGGCTAAAGGGATGCTGATTAAAAAAGATTAGGCCCTTGATTATAGGTAAAACTATAGGCACTAAATGATGTTCCATTATTCTCTAGTTGTTTTATTAAAGCATGCACTTAATTGCTCTATGTTGAGAAGCTTTTTGTCTACATTAGGGGGGAGACAACATGCATTTTAGGGGTAAAATATGACAAATGATTTGATTAAACTATAATAGTGTCTCAATTAGTACATGATACACAAATCAGTATCAGTATATGATCATTTGGATAAAAAATGCAAATTGATTACAAAATTTGATTGACTAAATGATTTGATGCACTATTTTCTGGGATGTTTCTTGCAAGGAATAAAAAAAGGAATTGAAACTTTAATTCCATTGTCATTATATTTACTGCATATTTAAAAAAGTATATAATAACTTTTTGATGCTTAGGAACAAAATAGCAGTCCGTATAGTATTTTCAGAAAAAGACTTGATTTCGAGTTTATTGATAATAAATAAAACTAATATTTCTATATATTGATAGCTCTTTAGCTTACTCCAAAAATTATTGTAAAAATCAACTCTCTGTTAAAGCAGCAAAATAATTAATTGATGAAACTTATCTGGCCATCACTTACCTGGCCATCCTTAGTCTGTCAGCAAACTAAAGGCAAAGAGACATAATATGTAGTTGATTGTTATAAATATGACTTAGTTAACAGCTGGACTCTACATGATTCTATTACTAGTCTTAAAGAACAAATTTCCTCATTGATTACTTTCTTTAGGAATCAATGTTATTTGTTTTTTCTCCACCTCTCTAGCCTATAATTATTTATATTAATCAATGAAACCTATTCAAGGTCTTCTTCCTTTTAGAAGTCAAAAACTTTCTCTTGTTTCATTTACCAAGATTTTTAATCCAACACAGCTCGTAACATCTTATGATGTTTGACATAGAGATAGGTTAGAATAGATGATGGAATCCAATATGGTGATTTTAACATATTAGACCCCCAAACCTTCAAAATCTTTAAATTAGACCTCCAAATTTCCTTTAGCAGCGACCAAGAATCACATGACCACATTTTTCTCTCCTGCCAATTCACCAAACAAGTTTGGACATTTCTTCTTCCTAGAATTGGCATTCTATCCCTCCCTCTTCACACCACGCATTGTTTTGATATATGCTTTGATGGGTCTGTTGAGAGTTCTGTGCAGAAACTATGGGGATTATGCTTTCCTACCATCTGCTGGGTCCTATGGAGAGCTCGCAACAACCTCATTCACTCAGGCATAGTCTCTACCCCTGAACAATTGGTCTCCAAGATCGCTCACTATATGATTTTCTGGACAGGTGCAGCATCATCGAAGAAGACCCTCAAGCTAAAAAATCTCATCTGGGAGAGAGGCTTCTGTTGGTTTTGGATGTGTGAAGAGCGAAACTTGGATTGAAATCAACAAAGCTGGAAAACTCAGCATCAGTCGACCAACGGGCATGGATCAGTCGACCGACGCCCAGATCAGTCGACTAACACGAAAACCCGTCGACTGAAGAAACCCTCTACAATTGTCAAAAGTTTCTGCTCGGTCGACTGATGCTTATCAGTCGACCGAAAGAGCCCGTCAGTCGACTGAAGGGATTTACTAGTCGACTGAAAAAAGTGCACAAGCAGTACACTCGGAAAACCTGTTCTCATCAGTCGACTGATGCATGAGCGTTAGTCGGATGACGACGTTAAAATAGAAAGCCTGTTTCTGTTTGGATTCCTATTTTGGGCTTGGTATGTATATAATCCTTCTTTGTTTTTAGGGTTATGTAGTACACGAAAAGAGAGGGTTTTGAGAGTGTTTTCTGAACACTTTGAGAAAGAGTTATCAAAGA